TCGTGCAGGTTTTTATTGCCTGCTGAAGCAAGGATGGTTCTCTGGAGCTTACACAGCTTATTTTTAGTTTTAATTAGCCCAGTAAAAGAAAGAGCCTCTGTGATTTTTACGGTGGGGTTGGTAATTTGGAAAACTGTGGGGACAGGAAGATGCATTGCTGGGTGCCCAGTAGCTGAGCCAACTGGGAGGATGAGGAGGGTCCTGGGGGTCCCAGTGCTGCAACATGCTGCTTTCCTTCGCAGCTACAGGGAAGCAGCTCTTCTACTCAAGCACCAGTGAATTCCTTATTGCCCTCCCAGCCTGAAGATGGTTATTTTCATGCCCGCCTGTCTCCCACCACCCTTGGTGCCATCTCGGGAGGCTGAGCAGCAGCAGGCAGCTTTCCCGCCCTGCCCGCCCCAGGCTCCTCACCTCCACCCCGACTCCTGCCTGCTGAGACTCAACAGGATCAAGCAGAGAGATGCCTTTTGGTATTTGTCCTGCCAGGGCGGCTGCCTGCAGTGAAGTCCCCTCTGTGCCCGTGGCACGAAGTCACTCCCGCTGCCTGGGCTCAGCAGCACCCCACGCTGCCCACGAGCGCTCCCCGCCTCACCCTCCTGCTGCAGCCCTGATTTCGGGGGCCGAGCACGGTGCACGCAGGCAGAATGAAACCCTCGTCGGAGATGGGAAATGACACGCCTGGGCCAAAGCTGAGAGAGGCTTGAAATGCCACGGATCTCTGCTGCGGGGCTCTGCAACGTTCAGGGGTGGATTGTCCAGAGAATCTAATTAGGAACGAGCAGACCTTCCCAAGCTGTAATACGCCAAGTAATTAAGTGATTAGTATTGATCGTTGGAATGCCTAATGAGCAGTTATCACTGAATGATTAATTAATCCAATCAAAAGAGTAATAAAAATTCTGCAGGTGTGATTATATCTTGCATTCAATGCACAAGGGCAGCGGGATCTCTCCCCATGGTGCCCATCTCCCGTTTATATCTCAGGCACGTGGAGGACCTGGCACCGGAGATGCCCGTTTTGCCGCCCCGCTCCCACAGCCTGGGCTGCCCCTGTCCAAGGGGTCTCTCCTCACCCCAAACACCCCCCGGCAAAGCCAGGCCGGGCTCCCTTGATCAAGCAGGCACGCTTTGCCGCTCCATGTGGCGCGGAGGTGGGGAAGGTGGTCCCCCCGGAGCTGTCAGCATCCAGAAGATGCCGAAAGCAGTCGATGCTGATCTCCTCCCTGGGAATCTTTCCCTCGCTCCCTTGATTAAGCTGCTTCGGTTTCTCCCGAGTCGCTCAGCCCACAAAAGCCCTGCTAATCTCTACTAAACCCGCAGCATGCAGTGCGCTCGCCTCTGACCACTTCCCAGCTGTGCGGTGGCTCTGCAGGCACGTCCCCAAGAGCACTGCGCCCTCGGGACATGGGAGCTCCAGGGCACCCACAGCCCTCTAACGGTCATTTGCTGGCCCATAATATTTACCTAATTACATGATACTGTTATTCAATACTGAAGAAATTATCTCACCAGCTAGTGCTAACAGCAAAGTACAGAGCAGCCCTGACTTGTGAGCAAGGACCTCCACACACCCGTCCCCTCGTCCCCTCCAGAGCACCCTCTGCCTCCCACCTTCCTTGGGGTGGGATGTCAGTGGCGGGTGACAGCCAGGGACAGCGCGGCCCGATGCCATCGCCCGCGGTGCCCAGAGCCGCTGCTTGGCAGGGGGGTGCAGGACCCAGAACCGCAAGAGGGGCACATGCTCACCCCCTGCCCACCCTCTCCCCTCTCCAAGCAGCGCCCGTCAGGATCAGCCCCGTGGCCACAAACCAGAGGGATTTCTGCCCCGGGGGCTGTGATGGCGCCCAGCATTCCCAGGCGCTGCCGCAGCTCAGGAGATGACGGATCCGGGCTTTAATGCTCTTTTCCATGCATCCTTTCAGGATTTGAGGCGGATCGCCCGTGCTTCCTGCATGGCATCCACAGCTGGCTCCGCACAAGGCCGTCAGCTGCCTCTGCCTGCCTGACGGGCCCTGATGGGGCTGAGCGCAGCGGTTATAATTAGAAATGCTAATCAGCTCTTGTGTTTCTGGCTTGACAGCCCTGCCACCCCCAGCACAATCTTCCCTCCAATCTGTCCTATGCTCGCCCCCTCTGCTTCCTCTCCAAATCCCTGCTACTTGTAATTAAGCACTACAGAATTAGGGGGAGTCGAAAGCTGGGGCTGCTGGGGCTCTTTGCATGCTTTGGGCCCGGCGTGCAGCCCCCGCAGCGCTTGCTGTGGATGGTTTGGGGGTCTCGCCCTCCATTCACCATCAGCGCCCTGGGCTGGGGACACCCCAGGGACACCCCTGCCCCTCGCCAAAAGCCCCGGCACTGAACCGTGGGGTGGAAGAGGGGCAGCCCAAGGGCTCTGCTGCAGGCAGCGCTGGGGTTAAAGGCAAAGGGTGGTGGCTGTGGCCGGAGCCGTGGGGCTCTGCCAGCACAGCGGCTCTGGAAGGAGAGCTGCTCTCATTAGGATTTCTGTCATGTGCCAGCCACGGGCTCTTCCCAGCCGAGGAGGAAAAGGAGCTTGCAAAGGAGCACGGACAAGGAGGCTGAGCAAGCAGATCCCTGCCCAGGCTTAGCTGGTTACAGAGTTATTCATCATCACGGCTTGCGCTAGGAGACACAACCCAGGGGCTTCCTCCCTTGCCGGTGCCCACAGACAGCCCCTGCCAGCCCCCAGCCCCTCCGCACAGCTCCCCACCCTGAGCCAGAGCACTCCTGCTGCTGCAAGAGCCAGGACACGGCTTTCTCCCCGGGCATTTAGCTCCCAAAGTCAGGCTTGGCCGGGGAGCCATTCCTTGGAAGCAGGCACAGGGCTCAGCTGGCCACAGAGGAGGGAGAGGTGTGCGGGCAGGACGAGCACCCTGGCCGCAGCGTGCGGACACACAGAGACCACTATGCTCAGAGAGGGACGGCATCCAAACGCATGCTGGCACCTCTCCCTGGCAAACAAGAGCCAGTGCGGCACAGGCCAGGCAAAGGCTGGCAGTCCCTCACCCCACAAGTGCCGTTTGGATGCTCAGACACCCCTGCAGCCTCCTGGGGCCATGCCCAGTGTGCTGATGTGTTAACAAGGGGTCGGGGTCTCCCAGCCAATGTCAGAACCGCACTGAGTAACCCACGGCATTGGTACAACACAGCTGCACCAACGTGGAACAGGGAACAAACTGTATCTGGAGCAGCAGCCTGGACTTGCCCGCCCGAGCCGTGAAATATCACAGCAATCTCTAAGTGTGCTAGGAGAAAACACACACAGCTCTTGGGTTTTTAAGTCAGCCTTCATCTTCCAGGTGCTCCCTGTTTATTAACCTCAGGTGGCTGCAGGGAGAGTCTCCAGTCTGGAGGCTCAATGTGCAAAAGGGTAAGGGTTTTCAAGAAGGCAGCGGCTGCCTGAGCAAAGGTGACCCCCTCTCACCTCCTCTGCCCAGGGCCCCCACGCGTGGCCGGGGCCCCCACGCACGGCCACGCTTCGCCTGGGACACACGCCCGCTTGCCACGGCATCTTACGGCACGGGCTGGTGGTGGGCACGCAGGAAGCAGCAAAGGGCTTCCCCCTCCTCCCCACACACCGAGCACCGCCGTTTCTGGAGAAAGGGAAATAGGAGAAACAAGGACGTATCACAAAAAAGGTGCTGGGAGGGACAGGGCACGGTGGCTCTGGTGGGAATGGGCTCGTGAAACACAGGCAGCTGACTGGGAAACCCCCGGGGACAAGTCGGATTGGATCTGTCATGACTAATTGACTCCCTCCAGTGCTGCAGTACAGGTTTCACGCGTCGCGTGAGCGGGGTCCCGAGCATCCAGGAATTAATGAGGGTCTGACCCTGTCTGCGCAGCCACTTGAGCTTTTCCAATGCAGACAGCTGGCTTAAGAGGCCCCTTTATTCTTTACATATCAGATCAATCGGGATAGTTATAATCTAGTCCTTGTGAAAGCTTGGAGCAGCCTTCGCTGCCCAGCCAGCTCAAGGGGAAAAAAAGCAAGCAAGAGGGAGAGGTCATGATGAACTATTGATTGAGCAGGCGGCGGTGCTGCTCCCAGAGATGGCTTTTGCAGAGAACTCGCTCGGGACAGTTTGCCTCTATATCTCTCGCTAATGCTGCTCCATTGATCTTCCGTGACAGGCAGCAACTACAAGGTTTTTTTTAGTTGGAGTCATTAAGAGGCATTAATCAATAACAGGGGAAACAGAGAGAGAGAAACTGTTTGTTTCATGGAGACATATTCCCCGTGTGGATTTTAGCCCGCTGAAGTGCGCATGTTTTATTTCCAGTGGCCAGGGAGGCCTGCCAGGAAAAGAATTCACCTTGTGCTGGACTCCGGCACTTGGAGGAGATCCTGAGCTGGTTGCAGCACGCTGGCAGCTCTGGCCAGGCTGTGCAGTGAGAGGGGTCCAGCTGGGGAGTTCGTGGCATCCGATTCCAGGTACCCCAGCATCCTACCCAGCACCCCAAGTCACCCAGACCCTCTGTTCCCACACAAGTACCCCAGGAAGAGCTGGGTACTAATTTCATATGTCCAAAGTTCTGGGTACTGGCTTCACATCGTGCTTCTACTAAACCCAGTCGCCACCTGGCAGCAGTGCAATGGGTCCCGGCATTTGAGCTCAGCCCCTGCCCGGTGGCTCAGCCCGCGGTGCTGTGGCCATAGGCAAGACCGAAGTTCATTCCTGTGGCAAGACTGAAGTTATTTGCAAGAGAAATGGTCTTTGTGCTGAAAGTGCCCCAGGCTGCACCGCTCCCTCCTGCCCTGCCCCAACGGTGTCAGTACATTTCCATCGCTCTGTGGTGGCAACACCCATTTTTCTTCTCCAAGCGCTCCTGTGCTCGACCCCAGCGAGTGCCTGTACAGGTGCTGGAGCCCGTTTTCCCTTGGAGAGCTGGAGAAGGGAGCTGGAGACGTGCTCGGGAGCAGGAGGACGGGATTGCCTTCAAAGGTGACTGCGAAGAGAGGCAGTGGTACCGGCTGCCAGCTGTGAGCGGTGCGCGCTGTTGCAGGCAGAGCAACCAGCAGCCCCGGGGCAACCTCAGGCCGTGGAGGTGCCGTGGGCTCCTGCGTGGGCTGGGCTGAGCTGAGCTTGGGGAATAGCCTGTGACACAGAAGATGGGCTGGTATTTAATTGCACTTGTGGACTTAGCCCAAGCGCCCTTTAGTACCGCTCAGCCCTGGGGTGCTGGCACACCCTGTGGCACTGCACCCGCAGGTCGGGCAGCCTGGGAACGCCACGCTCGGCACGCTGCTTGCTGCCTGTGCACCAGAGGGAGCATGGGGAAAGAGCATGGCTCCTGCTAACAGGGCCTGCACCGAGCAGGTACCAAGTGATGCCGCAGAGTAAGGGAAATGCCCTTTTGGAGGCGGGGATGGAGATCCCGATGGGGCACATCTCGCCTCGGCTCCCAAAGCCCCAGTCTCCTGCTGCTCCAGCTCTCACAGGCCGCTGTGCAGTGGTAATTGCTGCAGCTCTCTGGGGAAATGGGATCTTCGTCTTTGCTGTAATTACAGCTACACGTCCACAGCAAAGCAATCAAAGGGAGCAGGGGAGGAGGGGATGAGGAGATTGCCGTCTCAGAAGCAGCTTGCACCGGTGGCACGTGCAGCAGGCACGCTCAGGCACATGCTGGCCATAAGCACCTGGCAGAGTCACAGCCCTGAAAAAACACACACATACACACACAGAGCTCAGCACCATCACTTGAATCTAGCCCAGAGGGGGCAAGTTACACTGCTGCTGGCCAGTGGCTCCCTGAGATGTGAGTCTCCGGCGTGGGAGATACAGCAAACCCCTCTTCAGTCCCAGGTTGCCCATCAGGAGAAGCCCTTAGCTAACGGCTGTGCCTTCCTTGTTCAGTCCATCAGTCTCCAGGTCAACCACCCAGGCCCTTCCACCAGCACAAAATCCATTAGAAACAATTTGATTTCCTTTATTTACACGACATTTGGGAAAAAGCCTAATCCTATTGCAACTGGGGAAAAAAAAATAAAGTCATTCCAGTTTTACAGCCTTGGGCCTGGAGGAGCTCGAGCGCTGCAGCCAGACGAGCTGCTGTTTCCAAGGCTGTGTGCTGTGCTTGGTACGCTCTCATTTTACTCAGAGCCTCGCCTGGGGCGGATGGTGTGATGTCTTGCGGAGACCATCAGGTGCAGGGGGATTTCCAGCCTGGGTATACAAATGCAAATGCAACAGTAAAATCTTGCAGCCTCACATTTTTGCTGTCTCCTATTTCAGGCACAGTCTGCCAGGAGAAAAAAATAAAAACCGGTGTTGGGGAGCATGGTGGGGTGTAAGCCCTAGCAGTAATCCTCGACTGATGTTGCATTGCCTCTGCAAACACCCATCTCCCGACTCGCCGCCAGCCAGAGGAGCAGTGCCCTGGCACTCAGTGGGGCTGCTAGCGTGGCGTTCCGCACGCAGATAAGCATCGTGCCAAATCAGCCTTGTATCTTATGTGGATTTAAATAAGTAGTCAAGTTTTTCAAGGCAGAGGGAAGACAAGCTCAGAGAAAGCAGATCTTTATAAAGCACAGCTAAGAAAAGGGTTTAGGTGTGCTGGGAGCGGCAGGAGGGGACGGTCCTGCGGGGCTGGCGGGGGCTGCGTGGGGTCTGGAACCTGCAAAGCATTCGGGTCCCGGACGAATGGGACCATAAACCCACAGCTGCTGGACAGAACATCCGAGCAGGTAACGCACTTACTTTCTCAATAGAGTTATTTGTAGGTGATTGAAGGTTACAGGGAGGGAGGCTCTGATTATCTAATATGCTTTTGCAATATGTTTCTCTCTTAAGTGCGTGTTCCCAGAGTCAAACTCCCTCAAGCTCTTTCTCTTTCCAGTGGCCAATGGAGGCTGGCTGCAGAACCCCAGCACCAGGGCAGTTTAGCAATCTCATGCTTCTGGGTTTTGTGCAACCCTGTTGCTCTGTAGTCCTGCGGGTCAGCCCAGCGCTCACTTTCAAACCGCGCTGAGCCAACCGCCCCGTTCCTCCCCAAGTGTTTACTCTGTTGTCACGAGAGCGCTGACGTGTTATTACTTAGAAGCACAGTAACTAAAGGGAGTGTGACCATGGGGCAGCAGGAGCCAACGCAGCAGCTGGGGGTCAGTCTGAAGCTCTGCTCCTGCCAGCGTGGGCTCGACCGTGGGCTTCCATGCCACCCACACAAGGAGCAGCAGGAGGGCTTCAACCTGCCATGCACTGGTGCCCTTTTAGGCTGAAACAAGTGAGATGGAAATGGGATTCACCCACATCCTTTGCACAAACTGCTCCTAGCCACCATCCTTGCCTTGCCCAGCAGCCTGCAGCAGTAGATACAGCACAGCCCAGGCCAGACCTCCTCACTATCTTTGCCAGAGCAACACTTTCAGGAGATTCCAGTGATGCCATCCTACTGCTGTCAGCCCTTAGGGCAGCCTTGCTTACTGATGCCAAGGTGGTCCAGGTTACCAGTCTGTACCTCTGCCTATGTGGGAGCAAGCTATAGCAGCGTAACTACATCTGTACGGTGATGCTGGGCTGTTTTATGTGCCCTGAGCTGCGCCAAGGCGAGACTCAGTGACACCAGGCTCTGAGACGTCTTGCAAAGCCAGATGCTAGTTGAGACAGGTAAAGAGGGAAGAGGATGGATCAGCAGACGGATGGATGGATGGATGGACGGACTGACAGAGGTCTAGAAGTTCGATCAGATGCATGGATCAGCTTACCATCCCCAAGTCTCTGATAATCGAGGCTGCTTTGCACCACTCAGGGGTTGCTGTCTAGGAGCTTGAGCAATGCGGGCCTTCGTGCTGGCTGCCCTATCAGCCCTTCCTGGGAGGGCTCACGAGCCACGCACATGCGTGCCTTGGCATGGCCAAGACCAAAGCTGGGCTGGCCGCTTCCTCCTCCCCCTGCTTTTAATGTCACCAAACCCAGCTGCTGCTTTCAACACATGTCCCTTGGCAGGAGGCGAAGAGAAGCAGGCCGCCGGGCAGAGCTGCCAAAGACGCCGTGGGAAGTCAAGGGCAGATGCACGGTGAGGCAGCGGGGAGCAAGACGCCGCTCTGCAGACAGACCCAGCCCTCCCTCGGCACCGCCTGCCCCTCCCAGGGGGTCCTCACCGACCACCCACCCGCCCGGCCTCGAGCCTCCCGTTGCTCTGCAACCTGCTCAGCCCTGCACGGCGATGCCAGGCAACGACACGTCTCTCCTTCCTTCCTACCCCGCCGAGTGCTTTCCCTCTCTTCCCTTTTCCATTCACCTTCTCCCCACATACGTGGGAGACCGTCTCCCTGGCTCCAGTTCTTTTCCAGTCAGAAGCAAGTCATCAAAAGCGAGGTCACAGGTTGCTTCCAAGGGAAGCAATAAATTGAGGCAAATAAAGATAAAAAACATAGCCAGGTTATTTTAAGACATCAGTAAACTAAGGCAAAGGGTAACGCTCTCGGCTTAATGGCTTTTCACGGACACAGCCGCAGAAATCCCACCATCAGCGATGCTGCGTGGACCCTTCTGCTCACCATGCTTTGCT